AAATCACAAATTCTGGTTGTGTTGCAAAGTCATAAGCATGTACTTTCTAGCATGCCCGAGATGACTCATAAAATGGTCCATAGGATCGACACCGTGACACCCCAACATGCACCTCTCAGGGCATACCAAACCACCGTTAAAGTGCAGGAGAAAATTTGTAAAGAAATACAAAATATACTGGATATGGGAATAACTAAAGAATCTGACAGCTCCTGGACTTCACCTATTGTGTTGAGTAGCTGCTGCACAGGGAACTTAGGGGAGCAGGGAGCTGATAGGGGGCTGCCTGTCCACCCTGGTTCCAAGCCCCCACCAGCTAGCTGCAACTGGCTGCTCTTCCTGCAAGCAGTGGACAAAGCAGGCAGCTGCCAAACAACGTTATAAGGGACCACTGCACAACTTTAAACAAGCATGTTCCCAAATTGATCAGCAACGTAACAACGAAACGTTAACCGGGGCAACTTTAAGTGAGGAGTCACTCTTTACTTCAATATAACAGCACTGAGATATTCTTAATTTTACTATAAGCTAAGTTTATTAATAAGGAACATAGATTTAAGTGCTCCGAAGCAAGAGAAAAAGAGACAGGTACAGTTCAAAACAAAACAAAACAAAAACCACTTCCTAGTGACTAAAACTTAATTTTAGCAAGTTAGAAGCTTTGCCTAAGGAGTTTTGTTACTTACATCAAATTACCAGCATCTCTAGCCCTCCAGGCCAGAGGTCCCAACCTTCACAGAGCTAAAAGGTGCTCTCCCCTTTGTTTCCTAAGTGATGGATAACTAGAATGTCTGTTTGCACCCCTTATATTTTCCAAAGTCCATTGTCTTGGTTTCATGAGCCAGGAAGAGCTCCTGTAAACTATATGCCCTGGTGTGGTTGTTAAGCTGTTTCCTCTGCTGCTTCTTCGCTTGATTCCTTTGTTTACCTAATACGTAAGATCAGGAAGTTGAGACAGCAGCTGCGGTCTCTCCGTTCTGAGCCCTGTCCTGTCCCCACCCTGCTCTATGTGGAGAAAGAGTAAGAAGGGGGCAGGAGTAGGGGGGAGGGGGACATCCTGACATTACCCCCCTTCTTCCCCCCTCCACTGCACAGCAAGCAGGAGGCTTCCGGGAGCAGCTCCAAGGCAGAGGGCAGGAGTAGCACATGGCAGTGGGGGGAGGGACAGCTGAACTTTTCATCAGTAGTTCTCACAGCACTTTACAAAGAAAATCAGCATCATTATCCTGCTTTACAGACATTTGGTTTAGGGGAAGTTGGAAGGTTTGTGTTATTTTAGTGTGTTTTTTATTTGAGTGAGTTTACATTCAACAGTTGCCAGAAGTGCCTGAGGGTTTCAGTGTCTTCACTGAAGCTGACACTAATAAAGCAGAAGGCCCTAGGGTGTCAGTTGATTTGTTTAGAGATGTGGGACCCACCCATCCGCATCAGACTGGGTAGGCAAGGACCTAGAGGGAAAAGAGGAAAAAGGGACCTCTAAGGCTTTGTCCATCCCAGTCCCCGCTGTACCTCAATCCCTTTGTCTCTGACTATAGTTTTCTTCTTATGTAAAACAGAGAGGTCAAAACCTGACCCATTGAAGGCAGTGGGAGTTTTGCCATTGACTTTAATGGGGGCCAGGGTTTCACCCAGGGAAGGGACATTTGGGATGGCTGTGGTCCGAGGGATAAGAGTTTTGCAGGGTTCAAGGCTTCCACAAACCGTTGGTACTTGATCCGTTTCCTCTAGGCTTCCTTTTATATGCCATGCAAAAATGCTGCTGTTACCAAGGTGTCAAAAAGGCCCACTGTTGTAATGTAGCAATAACCCCACAATAGGGTGTGTGGGGGCTCATCCGCAGAACTGTGAGCCTCAGACATTGTCAGTGAAACCGAAGTGAGTCTTTATCAGAGCAATAGCTGCGTGTGCACCCTAGTCCAGCACAAGCCTTAGATGCTTCTCAGAACTTCCTGCCCTTCCCTTCCCAAATACAGCGTCCTGAAAAATTCTAACTCTCTGCCCTGCTCCCTGCATAAATGTCTCCCTGGCTTTGAGTGAAAAAGAAAAAATGGAAACACCTGTGTCAAGGTTCCTTCCCACTCTGAACTCTAGGGTACAGATGTGGGGACCTGCATGAAAGATCCCCTAAGCTTATTCTTAGCAGCTTAGGTTAAAAACTTCCCGAAGGCACAGATTTCTTTCTTGCCTTGGGAACCAGCTTAGGTTAAAAACCTGGTACGCTGCCATCACCAAGCAATTTAAACAAAGAACAGGGAAAGAGCCTGCTTGGAGATGTCTTCCCCCCAAATATCCCCCCAAGCCTGACACCCCCTTTCCTGGGAAGGCTTGATAATAATATCCTCACCAATTGGTACAGGTGAACACAGACCCAAACCCTTGGATCTTAAGAACAAGGAAAAATCAATCAGGTTCTTAAAAGAATAATTGTATTTAAAGAAAAGGTAAAAGAATCACCTCTGTAAAATCAGGATGGTAAATTCTTTACAGGGTAATCAGCTTCAGAACATAGAGAATCCCTCCAGGCAAAACCTTAAGTTACAAAAAGACAAAAACAGGAATACACATTCCCTCCAGCACAGCGAATTTCACAAGCCAAAAAAACAAAAGAAAGTCTAATGCATTTTCCAGCTAGATTAATTACTAACTTTACAGGAGTTGGAGGGCTTGCATCCTTGATCTGTTCCCGGCAAAGGTATCACATGGACAGACAGACAAAAGCCTTTCCCCCCCCCCTCCAGATTTGAAAGAATCTTGACCCCTCATTGGCCATTTTAGGTCAGATGCCAGCGAGGTTATCTTAGCTTCTTAACCCTTTACAGGTGAAAGGATTTTGCCTCTGGCCAGGAGGGATTTTATAGCACTGTATACAGAAAGGGGGTTACCCTTCCCTTTATATTTATGACAACCTGTTTAAAGAGCACTATTTTAATTAATTTCTTCCAGTACATAATCCACATAATACTGCAGTTATCAAGCATCTGAGGCATATTAACTCTTTAGTAGTTGGATTCTCCCCAGCATCACTGGGTCTGTAGTTGACTTGCTCATAAGTAGACTTGGCAGAATTCAATTTTATTTTTGGATAATACCAATGTTTATTTTTAAGCATTTAAAAAAGATTTTTATCAATTAAAATATTCAGAGTTGTGCAAAATTATGGATTTTAAGCATTTTTATCTATTTAAATTTCACAGTTGCAGGAAATTATGGTGGGGTCAGACAATTATTTAATGGAAGTAGACATCCAGATTCAAAAACTTATAGCATTATTACTGTTAAAACACAAATGGTCAACATCAAATGTCAAAATATACAAAATAAATAACCTTAAATCCAGGGCTACTAATTTCTAAAGCAACATTTTTCTTTTTTGCATATTTGTAAATTTGAATGACTAATCAATGGAAATATTTTGACATCAGTTTGTGTGTGTTCAGTGAAATCAATGTTTGTTGAGATTTACCAATAAAAATATAATCTTACTGTCATAAATATAAAGGGAAGGGTAAACCCCTTTAAAATCCCTCCTGGCCAGTGGAAAAATCCTCTCACCTGTAAAGGGTTAAGAAGCTAAAGGTAACCTCGCTGGCACCTGACCAAAATACCAATGAGGAGACAAGATACTTTCAAAAGCTGGGAGGAGGGAGAAAAACAAAGGGTCTGTGTCTGTCTGTATGATGCTTTTGCCAGGGACAGAACAGGAATGGAGTCTTAGAACTTAGTAAGTAATCTAGCTAGCTATGTGTTAGATTATGATTTCTTTAAATGGCTGAGAGAAGAGCTGTGCTGAATAGAATGACTATTCCTGTCTGTGTGTCTTTTTTGTAACTTAAGGTTTTGCCTAGAGGGATTCTCTATGTTTTGAATCTAATTACCCTGTAAGGTATCTACTATCCTGATTTTACAGAGGTGATTCCTTTACTTCTATTAAAAGTCTTCTTGTAAGAAAACTGAATGCTTTTTCATTGTTCTAAGATCCAAGGGTTTGGGTCTGTGGTCACCTATGCAAATTGGTGAGGATTTTTACCAAACCTTCCCCAGGAAGTGGGGTGCAAGGGTTGGGAGGATTTTGGGGGGAAAGACGTGTCCAAACCACGTTTCCCAGTAAACCCAGATAAAGTTTGGTGGTGGCAGTGGAAATCCAAGGGTAAAATAATTTTGTACCTTGGGGAAGTTTTAACCTAAGCTAGTAAAAGTAAGCTTAGGAGGTTTTCATGCAGGTCCCCACATCTGTACCCTAGAGTTCAGAGTGGGGAAGGAACCTTGACACTTACCAAGCCTAATCATCATAAGCAGTTCACTGAACTCCAGTGAATTCCAACTGGATTATCTTGAAGCATCTGTTGAATTTCAGAGGCTGTTGTCTTATTTTGGTGAAATACTATACCTACCACTTTCTCCCAGGGGTATTATTTAAAAAAGGACAGTAATAAACATTGGCTCAAAGAAACCTAAGGGAGTTTCACTGAGAGTTGGGATCCTAACTTCTTCAGGCTCCTCTAAAAATATCGACCTTTCCATATTACCTTTTTTACCCTGAGTGAAATAAGGGCTTTTTTAAAAGCATGAAGGAGGGAAAAGGGGGGGAAGAGAAGAAAAAGAAGAACTAAAATAAGGCAGTGGAAAATGGAAACACTTACTAGATTTTTCTTTTGTTTTCTACTGTATTTATGTGTTTGCTTTTTAATAGTGAGTGGACAATAAAGGATACAATTAACTGAGATCAACTTGTTATACTGCGTGCTTTTACATATATTCATTCTGATATTTTTTCATGGATATGTAAACATTCATAAATAAAACAGAAAAAATGTAAGCTAGTAGCATTTGAGACAACATTTTGGTTTACACTATATGGTGAAGAGACAAGACGGGTTTATCCTGGGACCAAGGTGGCAACAACAGTACAAACAATATGTGGTAGCATCATGCCGGCACTTCTTCATTGGAAAAGAAATTATATGTATTCATAAATAACATATGTAATAGGCAAGTAATAATCATATAAATCACAAACAATTGCTAAGATATTGTGTTGTTTTATTTTAGTATATTCATAATTTAAGATGCAGTCAAATCAATCTATTATTCATTAATATCAAAACAGAAAAATTATAAAGTTTACATATATTTTATCTCATACACAAATCTGCAAAATAAAGATGTATATACATCAATTTACTGTATTTTTACTAATACAAGTTAACAAAAAATGTGTGCTACATACGGAAGGTATGATACATACAATGAGTAAAGTGCAGTACCAAAACTAAGCTGGTTTGGTGGTAAAGAACTAACTTATTATCATTCAAAGCTTTATTCTACCCAAAGTGTATGATGATTGTTTTGAAATATCACAAGGGTCCTAGTAACTCCAAAGTTACCAAATTACTACATGAAATGGGTTCCTATAACCAGTTTCCATCATCGATACTTTCTGCTACATGAGTTGTTTTCTCAAGTGACCCACTTTCATTAGAACTTTCTTCTAAAAGTAGTACTAAACTTGACATAGTTGTGTGAGGATCAAGTAGTTTCACAAGGGGTATTTCCACCCTTCTTTCATGAAAGATACGATTCTGTAACGTCATGGCTAACATAGAGTCCATGCCCAGTGATGCAAGTGATGTGTTCATTGTAAGATCACTCGCATTTGTACTACTGAGATAACTCACCAGTGAGGTGAAATAATCTTCAGAATTGACTGGAGATAAAGTCTGAGGGGTTCCTTTTTCAGATAGCTCAAGCTTACTGCCCAGTTCTTCTGAAATGAGTGTATGGAAGCGACTTTTGAGTGATGCAAAGCAAGAAAGAACAGAACTGTTTAGCGTTCCAAAATTTAATTTTACTACAGCTTGCTGAGGGTTATTCAGAATTAAGCTTTTTTTTAGATATTCATAAATTTCATGTACCTGCAGAATATCTATGCCTTTGGATTCCAAAATATTTTGAATGTTGTTTTGATTTAGCAATAATCCAAGATTCAAGGCACCCCAATTAATGGATTGTCCTGAAAGTCCACAATTCCTCCTGTAGTGGCAGAAAACATCCAGGAAAGAATTAGCAGCAGCATAGTTTGCTTGTGACGAATTTCCAAGAAATGAAGTAACGGAGGAGTAACACACAAAATAGTCAAGTTTCTGCCTTCTGGTAGCTCGGTGGAGATTTATTGCCCCTGCAACTTTGGGACTTAACACTTTCTCAAAGTGAGACAGGTTCAGAGCTTCAAGACGTCCATCATGCAAAACCACAGCACTGTGGAATACACCTTTGATTGGACTCTTTGGAAAGATTGTGTCAATTGAACTGATAGCTTTCTCAACATGTGAGCTAGAAATAACATTACACTGCAAACTGACTATTCTGTTCCCTTTACACTGATTTTGCAAAGCCTTGATTTCTTCTTGCTTCTCACTGCTTGGATTGCTCCTTGAAAGTATTGCAATACAGCCCCCTCCGTTCTGGGCTATAAATTTCACAGTTTCAAATCCAAGCCCAGTAAGTCCCCCTGCCACTATGTAAACTGCATTCTGCTTAAACATTTTCTTCTGTGCTTCATATACTGGTATGTCTGAAATCCTGTTGGTCTTCCCATCCCCCTTCAGCACAGCAAGTGGGATAGATCTGCAGGTGAAATAGGAGGTCGCTGCAGTGTTTGTACTTTCAAAGTTCTCAGTTTGCTGAAAAACAGAATATGATAGGTTTTGAAATTGTTTCATTTGCATTGATTTAATCCAGCCCTGGACAGCGCTTAGGGATCGTTTTAGAGATGCTTTCTGAAAGATACTGATAAGTTTCAATACATGAACACGGATATTTTCTTGATCACTTCCAAGTAGGTATCGAAAACATTCAGACCGTTGATTACCATGTACTATCACAAGGTCTTGGAGGTGGGAAAGACGGACTAGAACTTCAGTAGACATTCCATCTACTGGAGGCAGATAAACAAGGGCTTTGCACTGATTTACACGTTGCCACTGATCAGACGTAGGTGTTGCAAGTACTGTTCTCCAGCCCAATTCCCGGGCTGTCAGAGTAAGCACGTTGCACAAAACTGACTGTGGTTCAGTAGAAATAATACCTAAAGTCCCACTGTGTTTCACCTTTGGTAATGTTTGATTTAAAATTTCCCATGCTACCATAAAGTATGACACACAAGATACATTTCTAAAGCATGGAAACTTTTTGATGTTGAAACAAACTGTCCCTGGAACTTTGACTCTTGATGATGCAACAACTGGATAACATGAAGCCACCTGATCTCCCACCTTAACTTTTTTCACTTCACTGCCTACTGCAGTTACTGTGCCACTGAAGTCCAGAGCGAAAAGCTTGTGTTTGTCTATTGTATATGAATTCCAATACAACGTATTCCCAAAGTTACAGCTTGAAACGCTAACAGGAAAATAGTCTTCTGAATGGATGCATACTTTATCAATTTGAACTTCAACACTGTGATTTTCAAGCTGAGTAATGGTATTATTGGCTATTTCCGCAGATAAATCTTTCACTTGGTAAGGATCTGTAGTGTATAAAGTGAACGTCTCTGAGTTCTGAGGAGACTTTGAAGGTTGACTGTAACCCACATCTTTAAATGGTGTGCGTCTGATTTCTGAAGTGTAAATTCTCCCTTGATTGATCCATATTTCTGGATGATCCTGTCCTTTATATTTTACAATAACATCTGCTAAGACTGAGATGTCCAGTGTACTCAAAGAGCTGATATCAATCATCTGAAATGTGATTCCTGAAACTTCTATTACGCAGGTTCTCGTCATGCCACACAAAGCAAATCCAGGGTTAAGATGATCTACATTTCTATCTGTTGTTCTGTACGTGATTATTCTAACTGAACAACTGGATTTTTTCTCTCTTAATGCCACAATAATTTGGCGATAAGCCTCACAACATTTAGCTAAATGTGCCACCACTTTGCTTGGGAACTCGTCATTTAACTTCTGAATTCCCCACATGAACAAAACTTCCTGGTAGTCTTCAAGCTCCCTTTTCATTTGATGCTGTGCAGTCATTTCTGAACTCTTCGCTTCCAGCAATGTCTCCCAATCTTCATACATAACATATCTCGACTCATTGTGTAAGTATTTTTTGAGTTGCTGAGCTATTCCAAGTTTGTCAGCAAACACAATGACTCTGGGTGCTTCCCCTAAACTTCCTATGGTCTGAGGGGAAAAAATTTCTTTCCACTTATTTTCAAACAGCAAGTCATTGTCTCTTGGAGATGTTGGCTTCATAAAAGTGATCCCAACACGTTTCAGTTCTGCCAAAACAGAGCCACATTTATCTGTAAAGCATCCACAGACCTCTAAGTAGTTCCTAGTCGATTTGCTTGTTTTCAAATATATCATCATTTCCTCCTCCAAAGGTCTGAAAACTACAAGGCTGCCTATGCCAGAAGGAAAGCCTGCTCTGGTTTGGAAAGTTATTGTCGTCATGACAGCTGTCATCTGTAGAAAACAGTCTAACAGCACTGGATGGATACAATAGTCAGACATCTCTTCTCTGGTCTCTCTGTTCACCTTTATGCTGGTTATAGCTTCTTTTAGCTCTTCACAGTAAAATACATCCCTTAACTGTCTGAACATGGAACCATATTGAAATCCAACCTGAGACAGTGTTTCATAAACCTCATCTGCTGTAACTACTGATTTACACCTCTGAAAGATGTCTTGAAAGGAGATGCTGTTTTCTTCCACCGCAGCTTCAGACTTCTTTGTAATTTGTCCTGATGCATAAACTGCAACTGAGGATGACAGTATTCTGAAATCTGTCACTGTTTTTTGTGATGCCAATTCTATCTTTAAAACATGGGACTTCTGGTTTAAAATACATGGTGCCAAAAAATTGATATTAATCTGACAAATACTTAAAGGCACTTTCGGCCTCGAGCTACTCATCACAGACGCCAAAGCGAGCTCTACAAAAAATGCACCTGGAACTAAAGCAATGCCATTGTTCTTGTGCTCATATAAATAGGGTGCTGATGCCTGGGACACTGGGCAGTTGAATTCAGTGTTGTCGTTGTTCAAACTGTAAATCAAAGGATGATTTGAGTTTACAGCTCTTCGATTTGCTTGTTGATGGATGTCCAAATAGCCCATTAGCTTCTTACGATCAAACTGGTACCTGGGAA